TGAGTACAGCTAGGTACAGAGAAAGCAGATAATTTTGTTTAAAAATTCTTAATTTCTGCCAGACACGATGGCTCATGCCTGTAATCCCAGTACTTTGGGAGGCTGAAGCAAGCGGTTCACGAGGTCAGTAGATCAAGATGATCCTGACCAACATGGTGAAACCCTGCCTCTACTAAAATACAAAAAAATTAGCTGGGCGTGGTGGCACATGCTTGTAATCCCAGCTACTTGGGAGGCTGAGGCAGGAGAATCACTTGAACCCAGGAGGCGGAGGTTGCAGTGAGCCCAGATTGTGCAACTGCACTCCCAGTCTGGGAGATGAGCCAGACTCCATCTCAAAAAAATAAATAAATAAAAATAAAATAAAATAAATATTCTTAATTTCTGCAATAAGGAAGCAGGGTAAAGTTCTGAGCAGCCTGCCTGCTTCGCCAGGGCTTTGCCATCTGTTGCTACAGACAAGGGTCGTAATTCAGAGCCTTGCTGTGAGACAGACACTCTCCCACATTGCCAGGGAGCATGAAGTGATTCAGTCCTCCTGGCGAGGAAATTGGCAATGTTTTCTAAAAATCACCGAAGAACTGACGCTTTGATGATGCAGTGTCACTTCGGGAATCTCTCCCACGGATACTTCTGCATGTGTATGAAATGGCATGGGTACGTTTCTCTTTGCAGCATTGCTTTACAATAGCAAATGATAGGCGGCCACCCAGTGTCCAGCAAGAGGGAATAAGTTGTGGTCTACCCACACGGTGGGGTTCTGAGCCCCCGTGGAACAGAATGAGGTGCTCTGGGATGCGGAAATATTTCCCGATTTATTACTAAGTGAGAAACATGGAAGATACTGAAGGTTCATATGGCATTCCACATACCTAAGAAAGGGGATGGTCAGGAGCAGTGGCTCATGCCTGTGATCCCACAGCTTTGGAAGGCCAAGGTGGGAGGATTGCTTAAGCCCAGGAGTTCAAGACCAGCCTGGGCAATATAGCTAGACCCTGTCTCTGCAAAAAAGGTTTTTAAAAACATTAGTGGGGTATGGTGGTGCACACTTGTGGTCCCAGGCACTCAGGAGGCTGGGGCAGGAGGGTCACTTGAGCCCAGGAAGTTGAGGCTGCAATGAGCTGTGATTAAGCCACTGCATTCCAGCCTGGGCGATAGAGCAAAATCCTGTCTGAAAA